ACAGCCGTTACTTTGAAAGCGCTCCCTCATTGCCTGCGCTAAAGGTTAGGTTTTTCAGGTGTCAGCAGTTGGGCTGGTCATCCTACACAGCATGTTATTCAAGTTGGCTAGGGCGACTTGGTGTGGTGAGCAGCAGCATTCGCTGCTCAATCTCCTTGCGGAGATCATACAGCACATGTTTGCAGACAGAGCCGGAGCACAGAGTGAGTTCCTTTTCTCCTCTTCTTTCAAGCACTGCATGCATTTGATAGGCCAGGTTTATGTAATTTTGGCTTTTTCACCATTCAGACCTCATTCCACAAGAATCGTTGCTGACAAACCTGATCAAGGTTGTTGAGCGTGAAATGGTGACCTTGGCATTAGGAGGCGATGATCACCAACAAATCACTCTCACGGAAACTAATGTGCTGCACGTCCATCAGCGCCTGACTGGACTCCTTGAGGAGGCCTTCATCCACCTCCACGAGCCAAAATTAGTGCAATTATTTACGAGCGGCCTTGCGTTCAACACCGATGTGACGGTGAATTGTGAAAATGTGAGCGAATTTTCAATATTTGATGACGTGATCTCAGTGGGTGCTCTGTCTGACTGCCACGAGGAGGAGGCGCAAGAAGCAGAGGTGGCTGCATTTCTCGCGGTGCAGTTGGGACGACAGGCAGATGGCTGTGGTGCTGCGCCGGAACCGAGCACAAAGGGTGACCAAATCGACGATATTGTCTGATGCATTTGTTGACTCATGCGTGCATTCTTATCCCACGCACACACACTCACAAACACACACATGTGCACGTTGCTCGTCACATGTGAGCACGGTCTGTAAATTGTAAAGAATAATTTTACTTTTTCGTGACTTTTGGCACTTTTGTTGTAAAATATGACCAGTCGGTGTTCTTAACTCGAAATATTGCGCTCACTTCTCACTGGTTTTCATTGGCCGCGAATCGGTTGGGTTTGTCGAATGGGTGAAGATCTTCGGTCTTTATTTTTGAACATGACGATGCAATTAGACTTGCGTGTGTGAAGGCTGCAAAAGTCATGTTGCATTTTGCTTACCCATTACATACTCTGGGCTCTATCTCGTCGACATCTTTAGGTAAAATCTGGCAATCAGTTTTGGTGGTAGGCAGGTAGGTAGGTCATGTTCACGAGCATGAAGCAGATTACATTCACTCCTGACAGTCTATGTGATCAGGAAAAGTAGGGCAAAAACGTCTTCTTTGTGCACACATGAAAAAGCATATATTGACTACAATTTAAAACCGTTTGCTTGAACCCTAAACTGGATTATTCCCACAAATTTAGATTCATGCTCTGAGAAGTGCTCCAAAATACCTGAAGGTACGTAACTCTTACCTGAATGATTCCTCTTAAACGGTCTCACCGATAGGCGATCAAACCGAATGAAACACAATAAATGTCAACACAAATCCATCGGAACAGATGTGTGGTTGGTGTAATTACAACCATGGAAGTCCGCTGTCTTGAAGTTTATCTGTCGAAGTGAGTGATGGCGATGCGTCACAGAGGTATCAAAAGCCTGATTCGCATATTTTTTATGCTGGGGGTATTTGGATGATACCATGGTTTTATTGTCTATTGTCTACTGGTTAACTTAACCTTCCTAACACTTATTGTGCCACCACTGGCATTTCGCTCACTCAGGTAACAGCGGTCTGTTTGGATGAGCACAAGTGGGTCCATATTTCACACTTGCTTCTTCTGTGTTCATGCCGCTGACTAATGTATGCTGCCTTGGGATAACACGTTTAGCGTGTAATCAGCACCGAGAGACAAGAAATGAGAGACAAATCACCATGTCATCTAATGAGTAAACGATGGGATAATTATTATGACTGAGGTTTCCTTCTAGGCGGATCAAAAGCTGTTTGACCAATCTGGCTCAAAGTGTCAGCGGTTTTAATTTAAAACTGCCGATTGACAGCTGTAAAAATTAAGATCCGGCTTTACTGATTGGACTATTCATGAGGTAGTTTGAGTCTGCAGAATGAACGACAGTGCAAGAAGTCAAATTGCGCTGTAGAATTGGTCGTAGTTCACGAATGGTTAACTGGTCTTTCAATAACATAGACAGCCATAATGTGGCTATTTTTAAATTGACACAACACATGCTAGCGTGTGTTTAATTGCACTGGCATAAAAGAACGACTAATTTGCAAGAATTTTGCATACCGTTAATTGGGCCTTTTCGATGGTGACCGATTTTGCATGTTGTGTAGCTACTTGGAATGAATTGCTCATTCCGCTATCACGATAAGACGATTTGAGAAGATGTGTGTGAGATCGTGCCGATGGCGCACGTCCTCGGTTTTGTCAATTAGCTGTCAGTTTGTGCAGCGAGTGTGCCTGTCGTGATTCAGGCTGTATTTAAATGGCTGTGAGGCGAGCAAAGGTGATTTGAACCAGTGTGATAATTCCGGTGAGCCATACTGTCTCATCAGCTGAAAATGTCATCACACATCACACGTGTCTAACTATTGCCCATTTCGTACAATATAGACGAAAGTATTTGTCGTTGCTGATTGAAGGATCATCGAATTGAATTGGACTGTGTGTGTCTGCGGAATTGAGCAATTTGTGGCTGCTTGGGGCCACATCAGACAACTTTTCATTTTGGAATGTGGCATTTCAAAGTCAGTAGAATTAAAAAAATTGGATCTCCTATATTCAATTCAACATCCACTTAGCAGATATCCCACTCTGCATGAGGAATAGAGAGAAGCGTGTATCCATCACCCTCGCAAGCATGAGCATCAAAGCCTGTCTGATACCCGTAGCCGGCAATTAGAGGTTGCGCCTGGCTTGTGTGTCGCCGAACTTGCCCCCTCCCCTGTCGCCTCACTCAAGGTACATTTAGCAACGCACGGTCATACAAATAATTGTGTCTTTGGTCTAGCTTGTCGTCTAGACTCAAATTCACAGGGCCCTATTTTGATGTCCACAAATTTTGTACAAGCACATTCTCTAAAATTAGACGTCGTTACAGAACCAGGTTTGGCAACGCAAAATCTCGGTTTAACTCGACAGGTTAATCCATTGCACCATCACCGATTTTGTCGGCGTGGAGGCGTGCACATAGGTGCAACGTTCTGCTCGCCAGACGTCTGATTTCGACGCAGTCCCATTACATTTTTATTGGTGCTTCCACACATGCACTATGAAATGCCCAATAGAAGTTGGACAACAGAGGCAGAGTCCCTTAAATGCCAGCTGAAGTTGTCATAGCGGTTCATCCGATGTTCCATACGCTGGATCTATAGACATTGTTTGGGATTAGGACTACTGCGTCTGAAGGGGCATTGGCAACTTGGCAACGACGACAAGAACAGCAAAAGCCAGTTGGACTGCTAGTGAAGAATAAACCTACGATGGATGAAGCGGCCTTTTTATAAGTCAACAAGAGCAAAATCCCTCGTCTACTATTCGCTTGGGCCACTATCCTGCCAGATGTGGGGTATCAGGGAGTGTCGAACTGGATTGTTCGTCAATCATCAACGGTGTAAGGAACCAAGCCAGAAGCTGAGGACAGCTTCACTCCTGAGGAAGAGGCAGTGTACTGTGGCGACGGATCAGGGCGCAGACATATTTGAACACGCTGAATTCAGCCAATCCTGTGTCTCTTTGTGTTCCAGTGGCATGCAAGGAAGATAAGCAGCCAACCAGAGAAGGACACGAATGAGGTGCAGTATATAATAAGCGGCGTGGCCAGCGTGGTGGACTTGGATGGAAGGCGTTTGACGTGTGGCTCTGGCTTGTGATTGGTCAATAAAGCCTGTTCTGTTGTGCCAATCTTTTTCCTATTAGGGCTCGGGTATTCTACAGCACCGAAGAATAAGGGCGCAGACATGTTTGACGGCGCTGGCCTTTACCAATCCACTGTCTTTCTAGCAGCCAACCAGGGACAGACACGCTTAGAGGAATATTATACAATGAGCGGCGAAGCCAGCTTGGTTGACTCGTATGGACGGCGCCTGCTGTGTGATTCTGTCTTGTGACTGGTCAACAAAGCCTGTTCTGTTGTACCAGGCTTCCTCATACTAGTTCTCGGGTGTTCTACACGCGTGTTTGTAAAGTGATCAAACCAACGAGGTGGCCAGAAGAACTGTGCCTAAACGGTAAGACAAGGAAGAGGCTACTCATAACCGACTAAATTGACGGCTCGTAATGTTATCAGAATGGGTGTGAATTGCCACGAGATTATCGAAACCATGTAGGTGTGTAAACCTGTGAGAAGGAAGTGAGACGTTTTATTTTGAAAACGCTTATTCTTTGCATTGCTCAGTTAGGACAATGTTTAAAATCTAAGGCACAATTTGTCGTCATGCAATCCTGTGTTTATCCTGCCGTTGTACTGGACGGTAGTTTAAGACGAACACGCACACCCCACAACCCGTCAGAGCTACCCTACCTGTCACGACGTACTTTAACGCCTTATTTAAGTAGAGATGGCATTTCCTATTGAGCGATGGCTTTGCTTTAATTTGACCATTGTGTCAACGAAAATATACCCACAAAAAAACCAACAACTACCACTGGTCAATTCGAAATTGCGTCTAATTATTATGTAGGTCCTACCAAGGTAACTCCGATCAACGTTGGTAATGCCTGCCTGTTCGTCACTAATGCTGCCCCTCCACAAACAGGCAGCATTCCTGATCCATTATGTTCCATGGCAGCAAATTCCAGCGCTGCTTCTTGCGAATCAGATTTACCGTTTTCAGGCAAATGTACTTCATTATCACTAGGAGAATTAGTGCACAAGCGAAAATAACAAAATGAAGCTGCGCATTGCGGAAGCTTTCTAGACAATTTAATCTCAAAACCCTTATTCTCCTTCCATCTTCAACTTCTTCGTATAAAGTGGACGCAATACCGAAGAATATTTGTTGTTGTTCAACGCCTGGATCTGGGTCGTACCTGGAGAGATGAACCATCAATTAAAAGAAACGGCGGAAACAAGCCTTAATTTGGACGATCAAAATTGACCTCCATTTGAGTATGGAAATCAGCAGTTATGAACATACGCATTGCACAAGAATGCACGATGCCATTGAATGTGAAGTAGCCACGTTGCGTGCTTTAGATAAGTAAATAATTCAACTCAAAACAGCCGGAATTTAAACTAACCTTTTATTAAATGAGGCTGCTTCTACTCGCAAAGACGGTGTTTCAAGCTACATTTGCTTTTTCTAGGCTGTGAATAGATTGGTTTTGCCTTTCGACTATGATTAAGATGGGGCGACATGTACGTCGGTGGTGTTTACAGAATCGAGTTTAACTCAGGTGGCAATGTGATTAACGTCAATTGGCAATGAATGGCAGGTGAGGGTACCAAAGTCTCCACCTTGGAATAAAGCCTGTTATTGTATACTGAGAGCTTGATAATTACGTCACTTGGTTAATCACTAGACGAAAGGTGCAAGAAGTTGTGCAGTGTCCTCAAAACGCTTTAACAGTCTACTTACGTTGGCTCCTGCTGAGGAAGGCGAAGCAACAAATTACATCGTTTAGCAAAGACCAGAACTGCACAAATGCGTAGGTAACAGTGCAAACTGAGGCAACGTTTTTGCTCGTCAAGGTGTGCATATTTTTTTAATGCAGAATCATTTTTATTCGGTCTTGGTTGCCTTTTGGGCATTGTCCCATCATCACTTTGACACCGCCAACTCCAACACTGAATTGCATTTGAATACTCCAGAGTCT